CAACAAATTGGAATAGGCTATGATCATAAATCATAATTAAGAAATGCGCACACATCAGAAATGTGCAAGTGTCAATTATTGAAAGCCCAGGATCTATAGAAATGCAATAAAGTGCTATAAACCTAAAATAGCTTTTGTTTATTATTCAAACCTCAACTACACATAAAGCTAATTGGTTCCTTTTGTTGTGGGAGGGCATGGAGTCGTCCTGTCATGTTTAATAGATGATGAGCTCTTTGCATGGTTCTCATCACGTCTCGGCTCTCTCATTTATGGAGGCTCAGAGGATATTTGTGGTAGTGCTGAAATCATCAAACAAGTATGTGTTGCGAGCCTGAAGTCTGTGAGCTGTGGTTGTGGTTCAACTTGCAGGGCTGTCAGTCGTCAAGGTGTAATTCAGTCAGTGTGTTACGTGCTGGTCAGCCATCTATCTTTGAAGCAGCTTTTTTTTTAAAGCAGTGTTTACCACCACTGCCGCCTTAAGAAAAAGCTCAGTAACTTGGGTTTAACATACATTTAAAATAATTAAAAACACTTGTCTGCGTGAACGGATGTGGGCACCCCTCCAAAATGTATTCCTGAGATGCCTGGGCTGCAGAAAGATCCAGATGGGTCTGAACTGAAACCAGATGGCTCTTGAAGGGAACACAGCCTAGGTACTACTGCATGCTGCATACAGACAAACTCCTTCTAAGGTACAGGCACTGTGATTTTGCTTAGTTTGTATGAATGTGCATGTGTGTATATGAAGTATTAGTGCACAAATACAAGTGTGTGCTTGGACTGTGTAGAGAGAGATTGCACTAATTATTTACAATCAACATGAGGAAATTTTTCATTTGATGATTCTTCTTCTTTCATTCAAGCAGTTAGTCTTTCTTTTACTTAAAGAAGCTTTATGATAGTGCATATAAGCGAAAAGCCTACAGTGTAATAGTGGTGCTTGAGTAAAATATTCCACTATTCATAAGCAGACAATTTTGCAACAGACATTTGCACTGATGACACTGGATATGACACTCTCAAAATGTGCTTCTTCATTAGGTTCTTGAAGTGCACATGGCAGGGGACACTTGCCAGACTCTTTTGTCTAGTGCTGTCATACTGTGCAGGCATGTGATAAAAGAAAGTGCCTTATTAATGTGATGGGCCACCGTGTGCACCAGAACAGCTTCACTACACCCTGGCATTAATTCTACAAGTCTCTGAATTCTACTGGAGTGATAAACTCCATTCTTCCAAAAGAGCTTCCCTCATTTAGTGTTTTGATGATGGTGGTGGAGACGCTGTCTAACACGTCACTCCACATCTCCCATAGGTGACTCAGTGACCCCTGGTGCCCTATAGATGGGGGCACTGTCATCCTGGAAGAGACCACTCATTTATCCAGGCTTTTACTAATTTGTCACCAGTCGGTGTGTTTCCTTATATTCTTTGATGATAAGTTCAGAATATCTAAAGTTGTTGCAGTGGATGGTGCTCAAGCAAGCTACAACTTAAATTCTTTGTTGATTACACTGACATTACTGTTGCAGCTGTTGGAAACAGATACCACAAACACACCTGTGCAGCAGTGGATACTGCCCACAGGAGACCTGTCAGACAGAAAGGGTTTGAACCTGCCAGTTATGATAAGGAGCAATGTATCTCTAGGAATAATATTGTAGAGTTAGTGTTTCACAGTGGGTCGTCTCCCAGCCTTAGGGTTGACGGTTTGATTCCCAGCTCCTCCATTCTGCATGCCATAGTCCTTGAGCAGGACACCGAACCCCAGGTTGCTCCTGATGAAATCACTGGCATGTGAGCGTGTTACTGACCTCAACCTGGGGTGATAAGCTGATCGGTTATCTAGTGTGTTGCAACTGATGGATCGAGCAGACCCCGCACCAGTGGGAAAAACCCCAAGGGGATGAGAGGGAATGTTACACAAAGCTCTGTGAATAGCTCTACCTTTTGGAAAATAGTGGGGGTGTGAAAATTAAAGCATTTCAAATGTATCATCAACAGCAAAATGGCTCAGACAAGTACAGTAGACAACACTTATTTAGGTGATCTCACTTCAAGAGCATTCCCGTTAAAATGTTTCCAATTAGTTTTAGCTGTTTGCAACAAAAAACACAAGCAGACACAATATCAGAACCACAAATTTTTGTCCTTGTTAAATGTCTTTGGGCTCACATCCTTTTTAATTCTCCATGGAGACATTTGTCATGTCTGTTGTCTTACAGAGCGGTAAACATGCAGGGTCAGCTACAGAGCAGCCCCAGTGGAGCTGGAGTCTGAGATCCACTACACTGCTCAAGGACACTTTAGCAGCAAGGATGGTTGTACAGTATGTGACTAAACAACACTACACCATGCTGATGATGGAGCAGATGTGCTGAAGCCATGGATGAAATCTGGTATAGGAAACTCAGCTGGAGAATCACAACATTCTATGCCCTGATGTGACCTGAAATGTATACTGTAGAAGATTTGGAACATACAACACCTCTAAAAAGAAGTGTTGCTTTACATTAACAGCTCCTGCAAGTCAGTAACATCCAACAAAAGTCCCTCTTGTGGACACCAGCGCTGTCCTTCAGGTGACATTTTGCAAGTGGTTTTATATAACTCATCACAGACACTTGTTAAAAGGTTTCAGTGACAATATTAGCAATATTTGTGACTCATTTACTGGCACATGATAAAAGGTCAACTTCCCATTGATTACACTAATTTCAAATCTCTTTCTAATAGTGAGCAATCTGGTAATCTTATAATTACAGAGGAAGTTGCTGTCAAGAAAATAGCAATAAGCTCAAGGCAAAATTCAACTTAGATACAAAGTGACCTCTAATCAGAGAATCGGTTCAACCATCTGAATGTAGATGAACGTAAACCTCTTACTCTGCAGCAGATGTTTTAACTGTAAGTTCATTTCCTTGCAATAGAGTTGTCCTTTCAGTGAACTCTGCCCTCAGTCTTCAGCGTCAGGCCAATGTTGTCTGTTATATTTCAGAAAACAAAATGAATCACCCTCATCTACCTGACAAAGGAATTCATTATCTTTTTCCCCAGAGGATGAAGAAGTGGTCTTCTCAAATGTGTTTGTGTTCTGGCAATGCTCCAGAAAAGAAGAGTCTGCACTGATGTGCTAACAAGGAAAAGATCGACTTCCAAAATCATGAATAGACCCTCATTTCACATCTTCAGTTTCAGCTGAGAGACACACCAAACCCCCACCCGCCTGAGTGAAAAAAACACAAGAAAGCAATAAATACAAGAGCAGTGACACATGCATGGAAAACACAAATATCAGCTCAACATCTCACTCAGATCTTACATTGCTCACATTTTTGTTGTGTTCAGGTGTTTTAGCAAGTATTAGGATGGTCTTTGACATACATTACTCTAGGTCAGGCCCTTCCTTGACGGGGATGTTGATAATGACTTATTGTGAAAGTAGAACACAGTTAATTCATGACTGATTCATTCATAGGATCTTTCCATTACAAAAGCTCTCAGTGCATCTGGCAGGTACCCACATTTGGATTTTCTGGCAGATTTAAGGTGTCAGCAGCTTGACATCATGCCCAACTCCTGACAACACCCTGGGTGAAATAGGGATTATAGCCCAATGAGTGCCAAAGACAACCAGAACGCAGATGATTGATATGAAGAGGTGCTCTCTGGTCTCTGAAAAACCACAGGAAAAGAAAGGTGGATTGACAAAACATGAAAAGGAAATATCTAAATGTGAAGATCTATGTTTGGCAGAGAAGTTTCTGCTGTAAATCTAAATCAAATGGAGTCTTTTCAGATCACTGTTAAACATCTTCTTTTATTCCATGCTATGGAAAAAATAAAGGACAATTCAGCTTCCCTTTGTACAATTCTGTCTGTAATGTTTGAACATTGCACTGTGTGAGGAGGCGGGAGGCCTCAATGATAAATGATAGCTTAGAATCCCACACATCATCCTCTGTATGCCGGCACGTGCAGCTGCAAGTTAGTGGACTCCAAGCCAACAATTGGCAGCCTTGGGAAGAGGAGAATGGAGAATTAGGTCAGCAGCAACCATTAGCCACAGGTTATGTTAGTACAGGTTGTTTGTGTACTATAGACTCCCTGAGCTAATGCAACAGTGGTGTCATCAGTGAGCAGGGTTCAAGAAAATGCCAAGGTGATTTAAAAAAAAAAGGATGTCATGGGAATGTTCTGGGTCGATATTTGGACAAAAGTGTTTATGTCTGATAAAGTATGCGCCTTATCTGAGTAAAAAAACAGGCTGGGTAAATACACTTGTTCTATTAGTGTTGTAAATGACTTTGCATTTGCTGATGATAGGGACAGTAGTAGTATAAAATGTAATTAACAACAAAACAAAACAAACAAAATACTACAATACTACAATACTTCCACCTTTCCAGACCCCTCCTCCCTCTCTAATAACTTTTATAGAGAGAAAAAACTTACAACTCCTATTCTATGTGAATTTCTTTTAGAATGAAACAGCTCATCCATAAACCAAAGTATTCCATATATGAGAGGCACAACACTTATTTCAAGTTTAATGACTGATTTGTTATTGTGTTACTGTATGGCTAGGTGATTTCATTCTGCCTCCGTAACGAGGCCAGCAGTAGCTGAAGTAAACGATGCACGGTAAAAGTGAAGTTACCTTATTAAGGGAAATAGCCACTAATGAATAGCCTGTAGCAGAGTAATAGAAAGGGGGATTTTAAAACAGACTATAGAAATATTTCTGTTAAATATCTATAGATGTTTCGGTTCTTAGCACTGTTGTAGGAAAATATTTCCCAACCATTAATTCTGATCCGTAGGATCTACAGTGTTGGCCGCTGTTAAATGATTTTATCAATTAGTAGCGGAGAGACCAGGACCACGGTCTTGGATGCTGCGTTCTGATTGGTCCAAACGCCAAACTCGTAATGTTCAGCGCTCCCATATAAACCCATGCAGACTTGACATCGGTGCAATCTGTCATGCAAGTCAAAAGGATAGTGAGGAGTCCAATGTAGAGACATTGCTGACCGTACTAGCCTACATTTATTCTGCTTTCGGCGCCGCAGAAGCTTTTGGAGCGTTATTCTTATGAATTACACACAAAGCCGGAGGCGTCTCTTTAGATTTAGTTGTATTATCTGTGTTGAAAGGACGATGCCTTTGAGGATCGGACTTTTTCTCCTGATGGTGCTGAACGCATCTGCATATGAACTGGATCAAAACGAGTCTTATTCGCCCAGGAGAGCACGCTTTTCTGCCAATAGCCCTTGTAAGTAACACGCTGCTTCCATCTGCATAGCTTGCTTTTTTAAATACACCATTTTATCCAGCGCACTGTCTTACCTTTGTGCGATTACTATGTGGAGATTCTTTTCCTCTTTTTGGCCTATGCAGCCTTTTCTGTGTGAACGAGCGCGTTGATGCACGGGGAAAGCTGTGGGATTAACGCTGTGGTTTTTACCGGTGTCCTGCCGGCAACAGATGAGCATGGAGCTTGGTGCTGACACCTGAGAGCGCAGGCTGTGTCATGCTGATAGTCTCTTTCTCCTGGCTTTGTTGCTGCATAGGTCCCACTGTGATAGTGGACTTAAGGGGGTTTCCGTGCATAAAACGTAAAGCTGCCTTTGTAGCCAGAAAAAGAAGTAGGCTATACCATTGTACCTTTTCATCAGCAAGCCTCAGAAAAAGCACAGTGGCTGTGCCTTTTGGACAAATTAATGCAACCTTATTAGTTGACATTTGGTAGCCATCAAAGAAAAGAAATGCTTAAGTCAAAATCCCGTGTAATAACCATCAGGAAATGACCATGCAAAACAATAATTCTACAGGTCTTCATTCAAATGTTGACCTTTCCTTTTTAACACAAAGGTACAGCCCGGTGCTAAAAGGCAGCTGGTAACAGGGATGCTGATTCCCTTCTGCAGGAACTGCTTCATCATCATAAGATTTGGAGCTCATTCTGTGTATTTTGAATGCAGTCTCTGGTCCCTGATGGCACGCAGACTTTATCTGACTGTGCAGGTCAGCATGGGGCCCCAGATTCAAAATCTGCCAAGTAGGCTTAGGCTCCTCAGTGACATTTCTTAATGGTTATCACAAAGGATTTAAGTCAGGCTGCTGCACTCAGTGGATTCTTGGCTGAAGAATAAGAAATGCCAACTAATTGGATAAACTGATTTACAAATGATGTTTTATAGCTCTCACTTGTAAATTTTCAAGTCAGCTGCATTGACTTATATGTCTCTAATGGCCGAGATCAGTTAATGACACATGGACTGAAAGACTGAATGCTGCTGCAGGTTTTTACAAAGATGGGGATCAGGGTTATTAGTGGGTTAATCAGTCTAATAACTATTCCAGTCATGTGATGCTTCTGAAATGGGTATGGCAGCTTTTCTGAATATGTGTTTGATTACAGGGATCAGTTATGGATTTTCTGGATACTGGACTGTGACATGCGCATAGTTAAGGATACAGAATTAAACTGGTTTGGAGGCCGAGTCCTGATGTTCAGCTTTACAATTGCGGCTTGTGTAAAATAATTGAAGACAGAGCCTGGCGGCGGCATATACATGTGTGTGTTGTAAGTGTGTGTGCGCACCAGCAGTACCAGCATATGTTTATGTGTGTCTACAGGCATGCCAACAATTTTCAGGAAACTCTTTCTGGTGCTGTTCATCCAAGCTCTGCTGAAAAGAACCAAACAGTGGAATATAGGTCCTAGCCAAAAGAAAAGTACAGTAGTGCCAAGTAATGTCTGAGACTCTCAGAGTTGTAAGGTGTCCAATCTCCAGTCAAGTCACTGTTTGCCCCGAGTGACTCTATGTTTTTTGCGAATCACCAAACTATGAAAATTCTTTTTGGTTCCTCATATCTTTTAGCTGAAACCTCAGTAACCCTTGTGTAATGAGCTCAGTGAGTGTGCAGTGATTCCCAGTGAACCCGCTGTTGGCTCCCCTGCTGATGGCTGATTCTCTGTGCCCACAGCAGATGTGGCACGCTGTCTCAACAGTGCCCTCCAAGTTGGCTGCGGAGCCTTCGCCTGCCTGGAAAACTCAACTTGTGATACAGATGGCATGCATGACATCTGCAAGTCCTTCCTATACAGTGCTGCTAAATTTGACACTCAGGTATGCACTTCAGTTCATTTCACAAAGACTACGTATTTTCCATTCTTTCTATTTCTATGTGCACATGAGCTGTGTAAGACTATATGGGTGTAACTGTCAGAGCAAGAATGTGTGAAGCGATGCTGTGTTTTACAGGGTAAAGCATTTGTGAAGGAGAGCCTTAAGTGCATTGCCAATGGCATCACCTCGAAGGCATTCCCCACCATCCGCCGCTGTTCCACCTTCCAAAGAATGATATCTGAGGTCCAGGAAGAGTGTTACAGTAAACTGGATATCTGCACTGTTGCCCGATCTAATCCAGATGCTATTGGTGAAGTGGCACAGCTACCAAGTCACTTCCCCAATAGGTGAGCTCCTCTACTCTGTATACTGTTCAGGTTGTCTTAAAAAGAAGACAATATCATGACAGAAATGCATATTTTAAATGACATTTTAATTGTCATTACATTATTGAAAGCCTTTGAGGCTTAGTGATTGCAGAATACATAACAGTAGACAATATGAAAGGAAATGTATCTGCTGCTAAACTTAAGTGAATGAGAGACATAATGACACAAAGTAAAACAAATATACAAATAGATGTCCGCCTAGCTTTGGATTGTGTAGCGTAACAGATAGGTATATTTGTATTGATTTCCTTGTTTTGGCTACCATCTGCCTTGTACGTTGTTTTCATAGTATGAAAGAAATGAAACAGGAATATCAAGTTTCGGATGTTTTCATTCCTATTGTTGTTTTAATACATGTAGTAGTGCAGTTTGTGAGTGGAAACAAAAGGAGAGAAGGGTGGAGCATGGGGCTTAACAGTCACTGAAGCTGGGCTGGTTACTCCCATATGGATGACATCAAACCATGCAGCATGTGTACAAATACACAGAACTGCTATGTAAAGATTTGAACCACTAAAGAGAACAACAAGAGCATATTCTTGTTCATGGTGGTCCTTTTTGGTTTTGAGCTATTAAAAATTCATGCTGTGATGCTTTGTGTCGTTGCCCCAGGTTTTATGGTAAGCTGCTTCAGAGCCTGATGGACTGTGATGAGGACACGGTGGACCGTGTTAGGACCAGCATGGTGTCACGACTGGGTCCAGAGATGACCATTCTTATTCAGCTGCTGCAGAACAAGCCCTGCCCATCCACCGCTGTGGCTGCAGCTGCTGCTCTCCCAACTGGAGGGGGGGGGCCGGGGGGGTGGCGCTGGGGCCAGGGG